TTTCTCCCAAATTAAAATATTGGATAAAGAGATACATACCCGACATCAATTGTGGTTACGAATACAAGAATAAAATGAGCTATTTACATACTAAACTCAAGGATAAAGAAGAAAAGTTGGATTTATTAAATGTTGTATAAATTCTCGTGTAGTGAATGTCCAATCAAATACATTGGTCAAACAAAACGGAGAATAAAAAATAGAATTTATGGTCATGTTTCTGATTGTGGCAATAAATCCAGAACTGTTACCGGCGTATCAAATCATTCAATAGTAAGCATAAATTTGACTTTTCGAATGTTGAAATAATAGACATAGGGTCTCAATTACTTGTTCAATCATAGATCGGACAGTTATCTGAACCATCTCTTTTCTAAGTTTTAACTAAAACTTTAGTTTTCCGTTCTTTTATTTGTTACCTTCGTAGTAATTTCATTTAATTTATTGTAGAATTTCATTTAAATCTGGTTTTATCTAGTCGCTTTCCAAATTTACAATCTTTTAAATGTTTGCATTTATCGAACGGTAGAGAACATTGCACTACATTACATAATCTAAGGTATCTCTAAACTTAATCTAATTAGTCTTAATTATGCAATCCAAAATCATTGTCAGTGACACAAAGGTTCCATATGAACCGAATAACTATAATCATTTATTATTCACCATTAAATATTTCTAAACGATTTTAAGACTATCCATGCAGTGTAGAAAAAATGTCATAAGATCTAAGAGATGATGACCTTAAACCTAATAAAAGAGGTTAGGTAGAACAAAATGATCTAAACTACACTATGGAACCAATCATTCTTTACTCCCTTTACAACATAGGATTTTTAAATGGTGATCTTTCGCTAACTTTGGAGCTAATAAACCCATATCGTACTTCACTTAGATTTATACGAAATGGAGAAGGATGGAAAATTGCCTTACTTAGATCTGTTCTTTGAAAGAGACATATGGATTTTCACTCATCTCATGCATTCTAAAGGTTAACTGCACCGATAATTTAATAAACCGTGCTTTAGGCCTTTGTGTTCCTAGGTTTATAGAAAAAACGTAAATATAGTTAGTAACAAATCATTATCCATTATTATTGGCAAACGTATTAACAAATTCAAGATTAAGATTTATAAACCTGATGGTCTCCCATTGTTGAATGTTGAGGTGGAACCTATTTCAACTTCGATTGGCTTTTAGTCAATCACTTACATTCCTGTTGTGACTCAGAGAATTAAAAAGTTAATGGTTAATAAAATAAAGGAATTGCTTATAAATACAAAAATAATCTATCTAGTCTTCACACTGTTTTAAAGTGAAAAATGGCAAAAAGGAGGGAAAATTAAAAAAATGCGGTTGAGATGGGAAGTTGGTGTCCGAGTGGATCGAGGTCACGATAGCTCAAGTGGTAGAGCAGCGGCGTATCAAGCCGAAGATCGTGGGTTCGAATCCCGCTCGTGCCATTGACTTTTTTATATCAGATAAAAACCTTCATTAATTGTAATATATTAATTGGTCAAGCGGACCACGAAATTAGTGCATTTACTGTTTTAAAGTCTAAAGAGCCTATTGGCTCACGGTCTAATGTTGTTTATAGGGTGTCCTGTGGTGGTTGTGACGCTCGTTCTGTGGGTCAGACTAAGCAGAATATTGATGTTAGAATATCAGAACATAGATTAGATTGTATTCATAAAAAGTTAGTCCCGGGGTTGTCCACTCGTGCAACAAAAACGGCCATTTTTTCATGTTGGACTCCCCGGAAATCTTGGGTCGAGAAGTCGGTTTTGAGAGAAGACTCCTATTAGAAAAAGTACATATCCTTTTAATACAGAACGCCTGAAATTTATAGAGTAACGGACTNTCACACTCTCTCTCTCTTTCTCTCTCTCTCTCACACACTCTCTCTCTCTCACACTCTCTCTCTCTTTCTCTCTCTCTCTCACACACTCTCTCTCTCTCTCACACACTCTCTCTCTCTCTCTCTCACACACTCTCTCTCTGTCTCTCTCTCTCATTAATTTTAATACTTTGTATGTATTCACTAATTTCGTGGTCCGCTTGACCAATTAATACTTTCCAATTAATTAAGGTTTTTAGTTGAGATGAAAAAAAGTTAATGGCTCGAGAGGGATTCGAACTCACGACCTTCGGCTAGATACGCCGCTGCTTTACCACCTGAGCTATCGTGACCTCGATCCACTCGGACATCAACTCCCCATCTCAACTTAACTTTGTATATAGTTTCTGTAAATAGCTATAATTTTAGTCAAAAATACTCTCTCCGATCATAAACGTTACCTGTAAGAAATTGCTAGTCAGAACAAAATAGTTGGACCTAAATTTAGTCATATGGATTTTTTATTCGCGATTGCTAAACTTTATTATTAATTTTTGTTTTTGTTAATTATCAATACTGTATATTAATAATTACTTAGAATTTTAGATAGATGTCTATTTTCATCATGTAAAATGTAGTATGCTGGCCATGTGCTTCATAACCTTAAACCCAAAACGCTTTTACAACAGTTTTCCATGTTAATCGTTTTCTGCACTCTTGGGAAAGTATGTATATTATTTTATTTTGTTAACTTTTAATAAATAGGCCATGATGATGGTACTATAATTTGCCGAAAGCTTGGTGAACCCAGCAATTAGACTTCTTCTTTCTTCACCTGTCTAATGACCTCTACGAAGATCTGTATTTTAATCATTCTTTCAAAGATAAACATATTTCGTAGAAATACTTGCGTTATACTATTAACTTTGCATTTTACATATTAATTCAGTAATAATTAAGGAAAAATAAACTGACTCCTAGGTCATACTGCAAGGTCATTTATTATCTAAAATTTAAAAAGAATGCGCTTTTAAAATATATCTCCTCTATATTTAAATTATCCATATATTAATAAAGGTTTTAAGAAAACTTCATTTAATCCTTTGGAAGTTTACTATTTATCGGCAGAGCCTGCTGGCTGGTCGGAGGTGGACCTCGGAGGAAAAGGAAACTGCACATAAATAGCAACCGGACCGAGATATCAACTGTTCCCCACCCCGAGGCCATTATTAGAAAAGTTTCTGTGGAAAACAAAGTCACATAAATTGACTCAACAGCCTTCCGATACGCTCCGTCCTGCCGTTAGGTGAAATAGAGTAGCACCGGGAAATATGAGACGGCCCCCCAACAGTTGGAGAAAACATGGCATTTCGCTCTTCTACGCTATAACGAAATAACACATCCGCTTTTATTTAGTTTATTTTTACCTTTGTTGTATGGGTGATAGGCTGTTGAAATTGCAAGACCATTTGATATAAGTTGTTCATGTTTCTTAAATGCAGTGAATTTCTTTTTACTCAATTTGTTTCACACTGCTGAATCTAACGAGCAGTTGGACGTTCAATCGTTTTAGACAGAGATTTTTACCTTTTTAGTTTCAATTGTTACTATACCCCTCTCACATCTTATCGTACAAACCGAATATTGAAATTCAAGCATAGTTGAAATCATTATTTGATGCCATTTCCATAGCGCTATACGTTTGAAGCTGGAAAAGACAAATTATTTTCAAGAATGGGAAGTAAAAGATTCTATAATTATATCGATTATTTCAAGAAAGGTTGCTAACGTAGTGCTAAAATGTGTAAAAGAAACGATGGAGTTCCAACCAATTATCTATGCAGATTAAGTTAGCTGGACTGATAACAGGAAATCAAATACTGGAAACTCTTGTAATGACTGGAAGTGATTCATCCATAGGAGGAAAATATCGCTATGTTGTTGGAGAAACAGTAACGGTTATGTGATATGTTTGCAAAACAGATTTTTATAAACCTGGATAATGTTACACTGTTCCATCATAATTGCATCAAAGTAAAATTTAANAACAAAATTGGAACGATTTGAATCAATTTTTTTCATCGAGCTTCAAGGAATGGTAATATTTATTTGACTTTCGTAGCGTGTGTTATAATATTTTCAAATACTTGCTTTTACTGGGACAACACGGTGCTTCTTTGAAGCGTTTTCAAAAAAGTACAACAAGTTATATTTGGATTTTTTTAAAATAAAAATGAAAATAAACTTCTTGTTAAAGTATGGAACTTTTGACCTACAGTAATTGAAAGTGATTTGAATCACTTTTTGATCCCACGTCAAAAAAAAATTGATTAAATTTACATTCGGAATTTTTCATTTTTTATTTCAACTAAAATCCTTAATTAATTGAAAGATATTAATTGGCCAAACGGACCACGAAAGCAAGTGAAGTTAATAAGTAAAAATGAAATATACCTTCACTCAAGCTCTCCGTGGCGATTTCATTTGTCGCGGAAAATCAAATAGATTACTCGACATTTGAAAAATGGCAAAAAGGAGGGAAAATTCAAAAGGTGGGGTTGAGATGGAAGTTAGGACAGGAAGTTAGTGGCCGAGTGGATGGAAGTCACGATAGCCGAAGGTCGTGGGTTCGCATACTACTCGTGACACTGACTTTTTTTATCTCAACTAAAAACCTTAATTAATTGAACGTCATGAAAAAAGTTGAATCTATATTTATTGCAAAAACCATAAGATTTATATGATTTGTTATTTGAACAGAGCTATGAAAACTTAATCAAAGTTATGCAGAACATCTCTATTCCACGAAACAAAATAAGTCACAGTAGAACCAAAAGACGTAAGACATTGTTTTTTATGCAGTACCACTTACTGAGCAAATTGTAGCTGAGTGCTCAGTGAAACTGCTTGGGCTCAAAAATATAATATTCTATATTAAGAGGAAATGATGAAAAATAGATTAATGGTATCTGTTGTACACTAAGGAACGTTTAATTTGTTCTTCTTTTGTACCTGATGAATGTAGTGTCATATCACTGAAACTACATAAAACAACTAAAGCAAATTATTTTTCAAATAACCAGATATAATCCATATTTATAATAGGCATTAGTTTTCTCGTTTAAAAGAGAAATTTTTTAATTTTTCCTAATTTGTTTTTTAGGTTTCCTGGATGAGAAAGCGCGACCTGCATATTCTTACGTCCAACATCTTCACATACACGGGCGATGCTAGGTTCTCCGTCATTCACACGGACCCGAGCGACGACTGGAATCTCCGGATTGAATACGTCCAGAAGAAAGACGCCGGTATTTACGAGTGCCAAGTGAATACGGAGCCAAAGATCAACATGGCCATACAGCTGAATGTCGAAGGTGAGCATATAGCCGAACCCTTGTTATGTCCTGTAGAATATGTTCGCATCCTCTACCCATCATAAATACCCTGATACAGTTAGAGGAGTAGTATTAGCCGTCAAATCCCGCCTATAAATATAAATTTGATTTATTTATTTTTCTATAGTCTCATTTGCAAATTAAAATAGAATATACGATCTATAAAAATTTGTCTTTGAAAAAAAATTGTTTAAATTTTCTTCCGCATAAGATTATTAGCTGTAATGAATGCTTGGATAATATATTATATAAATATATAATATATAGTACTAATTAATTTAAATTGAATCAAACTTTTTGAAATTACATATTATAGTTAATACACAATACAATTTTAATATTCTTTAATATTAAGATTATATTTGTAGCTTTTGTTCATTAGGTAATTCTCCGTTTATTGATTATTTTCAAATAATTTTTGTTGTGTATATAATATAAAAAAAATATTTTTACATAATTTGATCTTCATCTTTTGCAATGGGAGATGCTATGCCTGGAGAGGAATGTACCCAGTGAATTTATACTGTCTTGTGTATATATCAGTTTGTATTGGCAAGTGCACGTATGTTCATTTAAAACTTGCAACTAGAAATTTACCAATTCCAAAGACTTGTACATAAATTGTTTAATTTTTATATATATTTATTATTATTTATGTTGGGCGCTAAAGAAAACAGGCCAATTGGGATTTCATGATATAATCCTAGGAAATTTTTAATAAAAGTAAAACTGACTAGGTTTCAGTCAAACATTTATGTAATAGCAAACATAATTTGTAATTATTGAATAATTATGGTTTTTTATAGAATATAGTTAAGATAGAGAGAAATTCATGTTACTTGCGAGGTGTGTTGAAGCCTGCAAAGGTTTAAGCCTCCAGCTTGATCGTATCCAATCATCCTGATCCGCCTATCTTCGTTTTGTTTTCATTTTTTCCCCAGTCATAAGCGTTTCGTCTTTTCTCCAACTTCTACGCTCTGCCTCTTGGTGATTTTGTCAAGCGTGCCCTTTTATAAGTTTGGGGAAATGTAAAGGGTTGAAAAGGGAGTATCGTTATTGTCTTTGTTCTGCCGGCATCTTTATTTATTTTGGAATGTCAGGGTCTTTGCGATGTTTGTTCCGGTCGGTTATTGTTCCTTTTGAACTGTTAACATCGGTTGCGTTTTCTTTTGATGTTATCTTGAGGTTTTTCATTCATGAGTTATTTGTGTGTTCAGATATTGTCTTGTGTTGAATGTGTCGAGTGAATACATTTTACGTTCTTTTTCTTATTCCAGGAGCCGTGATAAAATATCATTTGTGGTCCTGGGTGACAGGTTTTTTTAACCTAATTTTTAGTTCATTGCTGTTCTTATTTTTATCTTCCTTTAACAAATCACAAAACCAAACATTTTCGGCATGCTTACTTTTTCTTCCGGTAGGTTAGCTAACGCTCTTCTGGTAAACCTTGGGTGGTTTTTATTGCATCAGTTTCAGTTATTGTGCAAAAATTAACATACATAACTAATTTACAATTAATTCTTTATTTATGATTTACGCGTCATTTTAATATTCCATTTTTTTATTTTGACTAATTAACTTCACTTTATACTTCATTTAATTTTTAGTACAATTTATTGTACTTTAATGTGCACTTTAATACCAAAAGTTTAAATTATCAACAAAAATTAAAAGAAGAAAACTTATTTCTATAGTAATAATAATATATTGGCAAATTAAGTAAATAATAAATCCTTGGATTATATCATCCCATCCACATTGAATTGCCAAATTTTGACTACTGGCCAAAAATTAATTTCTTTGCTCAAATCTCGGTTGAAATATTTTGTAGAGTAGAAGTCATTGAATGTTTAATAGCTCGTGTTATTGCAATTTTGTCTTAGTATTTTTTCATGTTTCGAAGTAATTATTAAAATAATATTTTAAAAGGGCAGCACCCGTTTTATCAAATCAAATATTTTTTAAAACAAATATATTTTATAAAATTATAAACTTTCCTGCATAGAAAGAAACAGGGTTCATGAAATTCCGACCTTAAAATGTAGTTGAAATAATTTTTCGAATGTAATTATCAAGTGTTCGTCTATATCTTGATTTGATGAACTTGCAACTCTACATCCCTTTCGTTTGAAGAATAAAATTTTTATATAGATTCTATTTTAGAAACCACCTTCCCAATTAATTCGAAGTCTATCAATCCTCTACTGCAAAAGGAATTGAGCGTAAGGTCTTTGTGGCGTAAATTGGCGACAGCGTGAAATATTTGAGCTCGATAAAATATACCTTTCTCCTAACAAGTTTTCACATTGTATGTCTTGCATAAATGCAATAAAAGAAAAACTTATACTTGGTTTTTTTACAAATGTGTGGTGATAATCATTCAGAAATCGAGAGATGCCGTTTGGTGTGTTGTAGGTTTCAGAAAAACATTTTCTTCATCGTGCCAAGTTTCGATCTTTATTGAGATCATCATCAGGGCCTGGGATTTACAAATATTGTTTAAATTGAACAAATACATGTAGGATGTGGAAAAAAGTGGATTTATACAATGCAAAACAATATATTTTTTGTATTCGATCAAAGTATTCCTACTCACTCAAAGTGTTTGTTTTCAGCGTAAGTGTGCCATTCATGCGTGTCGTGTTGAGAGTGCCAGTGAGATACTGCTCTTATCTGTTTATATACGTTGGATTTTGAAGGGGTGGAAAGAGCCGACGAAGGGAAAAAACGTTGGTAATAGTTCGGCCAGATTATCCTGTCAGGATTATATAGAAGGAGATAATAACTACCCGCCGACTCCTTATACAAAAATGTCTTTCTTCTATCTCTGACTTCTATATATTGACTTCCTTCCCAACCCCTTCAAAATACAACGTATATAAACATAAAAGAGCAAAATCTCACTGGCACTCTCAACACGACACGCATGAATGGCACACTTACGCTGAAAACAAACACTTTGAGTGAGTAGGAATACTTTGATCGAATATAAAAAATATATTTTTTTGCATTGTATAAATTCACTTTTTCCACATACTACATGTATTTGTTAAATGTAAACAATGTTTGTAAATCCCAGGCCCTGAAGATGATCTCAATAAAGATCGAAACGTTGCCAACAAAATGTTTTTCTGAAACCTACTACCCAACAGACCGCATCTCACGATTTCTGAATAATTATTTTTTACAAATTTTGGCGTACCCTTATTCAGAAATTCGTGGCATGAGATAGAAAATAAAATAAAAAATGGTGGTAATTGGTTGTAGTATACTAAGTAGAATTTGGGAAACGATTCCAAAAAATATTTTATCTCAGACCTCTCTTTGAACAATAAAATTGCCGTAAACATAACGAATATAATTAAAAAAATAAAAATTCCCTAGTTCTCAATCTGTCCAAATCTACCGCCATTATTATCGGGTCCAGACAACTCCTCAATTCTCTCCCCAGCAACCCACCTCTCATGCTAAATAACCATTTCATCCCCTTCTGCTCTTCGGTTAAAAACCTACGAGTAGTCTTTGGCCAAAACCTTTCCTGGCATTCATACATTTCCCAAATTTCCTACCATTCCATTGCCTCCCTCAGCCTGTTTCGTCGGTCCTGGCTTCTCTTACCTTTCTCCACCAGAAAAACTCCTTGAATCTTCCCTTATACTTCTCTTCTTCGATTATAGCTATGTGGCATACGGTGGTCTTTCGGAGGGGGAGAACGCGCGATTGAAGCGTATTATGAATTGTTGCGTAAGCTTTGTGTACGGCACCCCATGGGGATCCCGGGTGTCGGTGTTGTATTCCCAACTTTCCTGGCTCTTCCCCTCCTTCCGTGCACAGTATTTCCTAGTTGCTTTCTGTTCCAGTCCATCCACACTCGTCGTCCTCCTTACATCATCCAATCCCTCCAATTCAACTCTTCACATCATACTCGTAACACCCGCTCATCACCAATCGACCTTATCCTTCCGCAACATACAACCCATACCTTCGAAAGAACCTTTCTGATTCGAGCATTTTTGTTTTATATTCTCGTAATTTTCTCTTCTGGCCTGCCTTACTGGTATACATTGTGCCAAGATTTCTATCTTTTTTACTTTTAACTTCATAGAAGGAACTTCCTTTATTTATTTCATGTAAATTATTCTTAGGGGACACCAGTCCCTGAATAAAATTATTTTCCTTCTTCTTCTTCTTCTTCTTAAAACATACGGTAAAATAAAATAGTTTCAGTGAATAACCGGACTGTACAG